GTGTTCTAATGGGTTCATCTGTGTTTCCCGAATACACGTGAGGTCCTTGACGCCAAAGCCAGTGTTCTTCCATTTGGGTCCCGTCCTTGGCAGAAACTAAATTTCACTGGGTATGTATTTACTTAACTTACTCAGTGCCAGACGCGGTCCCGGGTGGTTTCCGAGAAAATCATTCAGTCCCCTGACACCGTTAACAGGCAGCTGGTGGTGTTACCCCTTCCCCGACGTGAAGATGTGATGCCCGGGTCCCATGTCTGGGACGTGGAGGGAGGGGATGTGTTCTAACCCGGCTGGCCACCGGGGCTCGGCGTCAATGGCACACACACTGTCAGACTCAGAACGACGACCAGACCAGAAGCACACCTGTCCTCTGCCGTGCCCCCAGGACATGACTTCCTGCGTGGACACGATTCCCCACGTGAGATGTGGAAACACACCCCCACTTGGGAGGCTGTGATGAAGGCGGGTTGGAGGAGCCGGGTGAGCGGGCCACACGGCAGGTGAGCCCTGCTCCCGAGCATAGGAGCAGCCAGGACTCGAGCTCCGGCACTGACCCAGCGCGGGCCTTCACGAAGGCTCCGGGGCAGCTCAGGAGACGGGCCAGTGGTGTTTCTCTGCCTGCTTTCATTTCTGTTTCATCAGAGTCCTCTACGGTCTCTCAGCCATGAGCGGGTGGACTCCAGACCATCAGCCCTGGATGGTGGGGGAGGTTGGGGCCAGGCTCACATCTCGGGGGAAATTTGAAGTCAGGGCAGGAGCAGGAAATCAGAACCCGGATTAGGATCTCGGGTGCTCCGTGTCCCTGAGCAGAGTCACATTATCTTGGGGCTCCTTCTACACCAGACGGATGCACCTGAAAAATGATTTGACCGCAAGCATCTTGGGGTCAACCTCGCTTACGACAAATTTACTTAAATTTTGTGTTGCATTTAAGTAAATGAAGGTGCTTGTAAAGGTCTGGGCATGCCATTTGGTCCATTCATTCATTCATTCATTCATCCGTTCATTGATTCAACTCATCATTATTAGTTCTGGGTACTTGGGATTGATCTGTTTGTGAACAAAATCGACAGATCTGCTGTCCTCATGGTGTATTCATGGATCTTTACTGAGATGCTGTTATGTGCCCAGCACCACGTGAGGCACCTGGGATAGGGTGGTGGAATCACAAACCTATTTTTGGAAGCCCCATAAATTCCTGGAGGTGACCCTTGGAGATCGCTCTGTGGTGTGGCTGTCACCACACGTGTGGTCGCCCGGCCACAGCTCCGAGGCGTTGGGAACCGGACCTCCCAGGCAGCAACATCCTGCAGTGACCGCACCTGCTGGGTCAGGGGATGCTTGGGAGGGTTGTTTTATGGGATGAAGAAGCGATCGCCCCACTGACTGCTTGGATGTCCCTGTCTCCTTCCGCCCCCCAACTTAATCACCGCGGACCTGGGGCAGCAGTGTATATCAGGACTGGTCTTCGTCCTGGCTCCGATTTCTCGAGCTCGTCACTCTGCTTTCAGTCCACGTTCAGCTTCCCTCTTTTACTGAATAAGCATTGATTCCAGGGCTTGCTGGTTTTGTTTTTAAAGATCAATCCGTGTCTGTGTCAGTGGAGTACAGAAAACGGCATCACTGAGTTATAATTAACTTCTGAGTATTGTATATTTGAAGATCCAAAATCTCCCATTGATTTGGCATACTGACTTTCTTTTCTGGAGCCCTGCAGAAATGGACTTGGAAGTTGCCCACCTTACGTCCAAAGAGCTGTAACCGTATTTTAATTTCGTTTAACTTTCAGGTTCGGTGATGGCTATACAGTCAAGATTTGGCTCTGTAAGGAAACCAGTCCACACAGTGTGGTTTCTGACTGCTTGAAGCTCCATTTTCCAGGGATCCAGTTTAAGGTAGTGCTGATATTCTATATGACTTCTTTGTTTTGAGCACAAGAAATCTGAGAAGGGGCGTCTGGGTGGCTCAGTCATTTGGGCGTCCAACTTCAGCTCAGGTCATGATCTCACTGTTCATGTGTTCAAGCCCCATGTTGGGCTCTGTGCTGACAGCTCAGAGCCTGGAGCCTATTTCGGGTTCTGTGTCTCCCTCTCTCTCTGCCCCTCCCCTGCTCTCACTCTATCTCTCTCTCTCTCAAAAATAAATAAACATTAAAACAATTTTTTAAAAAAGAAATCTTATAAGCACATTTACCTTGTTCCCTGTTTTAATTCCATGCCTTTACGAGTCCTCACCTGTTGTCTTAGCCTCATTACAAAACATAGGCTCCCCCCTTCCCCACTGAAAATAGCAAAGGGCGAGCGCATGTTGCTTGATCACTGTGAAGGATGATGAGCCCGTCTGGCCAGTTTGTTGGGTCTCCCAGAGTGAACTGTGGTTTCGTAGGCCTGTTACCCGTGGGCCCAGTCATGTTTCATCCAGGAAGGAAAGATTACAGAAAGGAATTTCTTCCAGGCATTTGCTGTGGGGTTTAGAGGCTTGGTGGTTTCAGCACTATTTTCACAAGGGGTGCACGGTGCGTGGATCGTAATCCTCCGCTAACGTGATGCCAAGTGATCCCTGAACCAGCAGTGTCTTTGTCACCTGGGAGCTGGTAGGATCTGCAGGATCCCAAGCCCCAACCAACCAAATCCAGATCGGCATCTGAGGACGTGACCCAGTGATTCCTACGCACAGTAGCATTTTAGAAGCGCCGTGTATGTAGAATACCTTGGATAGCTGTGTGGTCCTTGTTTGTCATAAATTCTAATAGGTTCTGGTCTGTAAAATAGCTGTCACCTGTCTATTTCCACAAGAGCCACCGAGCGAAATCCATCGATAAGCATGCTGTACAAGGCCGGTGGTTCGTGCTCATGAACAGCCCCAAATAGCCCGAGGACACACGTGCTGTTACCCTGCTCTGCACATGTGCCGACAGGGGTCAGAAGGTTTGCTCTCCCACCAAGAGCTGCTCCGCCAGCTAATGGTGAGGGCGACAGGGATCTCTCCTCACGTCCCAGCCAAGTTCAGGTCCTCCATGCATCTCCTTACTCGACAGTTACGTCCTCCTTCTCAGCTAGTGCTCCGTACCCCCTCACCCCTAGAGCGCTCTTCCCCCCCTTATGGCATGTTGGGGGGGCATATAAGGGGCAGATCGGCGACTCGGCCTTGAGGGGGACCACCCATTTGCTCTGCCTCAGAATCAGTCGTCAGTACGCACGCACTGGGGACCCAGAATGGACCCACACCCCAGCCGGTATTTGGGTGTGTGGTTTAAAAAAAACCGTCATTTACTTAGCAGTTAAATATCCTGTGATCGACTTTGTGTGACGGCGGCCAGTCGTGTGATACGGTTTACGGTTTGCTTTTGGCTTTTAGGGGCAGCGTCTTAACCTGCTGGAATACCACGTGCCGAAGCAGTGGGAGTGCTTGGCCGACCTGTTCAGGGTTCTGGAAGGCAATAAGACCTTCCTGAACATCCAACGTTACTCCATCAACCAAACCACTTTGGAACAGGTATTGTATCTTGAACGCATCGGCGGGTTGCATTTTGGTACCTGCTTGAGGCCTCCCCAGCTGATTTTAATTATTTTTCTTCAACATTTATTTATTTTTTTTTAATTTTTTTTAATGTTTATTTATTTTT